CACTAGTGAAAAAGGATGAATAAATATAAAATGTTTGAATAATATTATATATTTTATTATATAATATTTTGAAAAAAATTTAAAGCTAAAATATAAATAGATTTTATTATTGATTTTATATTTATAAATATCATTCATATTTTTGTAAGTAAATAAATTATTTATAAAAAATAAAAAATAAATGCTCTTAAGCAAACTCTCTGATTTCTCCAAAAACGATCAAACAATTTGAAACTTTTTGTTTTTTTACATCTTATTAAATTATATAATTGCCAAACTTTATATGCCAGTTATATTTTAATCTTAACTATTATGTTTCAATCATATTTTTTATCCTTTTTTTATTTATCTTGATTAATTAGATGTCATGAATTAAATAAAACCTCAGGGAGAAATCAAGTTTTACTTTTTATTTTAACTTTTTTGTTTATAATGTTTATTTTTGTTTTTTTTTTCTCAAATTTTTAATTTATCTTATTATCATTTTTATCATTTTATATTTTTAAAAATCATAAAATAATTGTTTATTAAATTATCATTTATTCATTCAGATAATACAAATTTAATTTTTTTATTCAATAATATTTAGAGTAAATTAATCAATTTAAAAGTTGTTAATGTTGAATTTGGCTTTAAAAAGCTTATTTCATATCAAGAATTTTTATAATTTTTTATTAATGTGGAATTATAAATTTTAAAATGCTTATCTTATTTTATATAAAAAAATGTTCTCTAAATATCTTAGAAAAATGCAAATCGTTTAATTAAATAATGCCACTTTTGAATGAAAATTTTTAATTTTAATAATTTATTTATGAGGATTTACATTTAACTTAAAAAAAATATAATATGATAACACATAAATGAATTAAAATTGCTTTAGAATTATATTGTTTTTAAATTTATAAAAATTCTTAATTTAATCAATTGTTTTTGGATTTTTTGTACTTAATTTTCAAATCTTTAATTATTTGGAGCTAATCTAAGTTATTTTAGTAGAATTTTTCAATAAGTGATTAAGAATAGACGGAATATTCGACATTTTCAAATAAAAGAGAAACTTCTTTGTTAATAAACTCATCAAATGTTAGTTCATTTCTATTTGAGAGTATTTTTTATCTATACTAAATAAGATTTTATAGATCTTCTAACTCTACATCGAATTCATTTACAACAAAAACATATTCTATTGGTAACATAGAAAACTTCTTAGCTTTGTAATTTGGAGAAATTTATCTTTTTATAACATAGATTTGAATATCAAAACCATCAAAAGTTGTAACCTTAAACTAGAATTTTATCTCTTTCTTATCGAATATATTATCTTAAAATACTTTAATTGATTGCTTCATCATTTCATCTTGATCTTTTACAATATCTATTTTTTAATTTCTCATCAATAAAAAACTCAAACTAGATTCATTGAGTCCTATTAATTCTAGAAAAGACTTAGAATAGCCAGCTTGAACGATTTCAACATCTTTAATCTCAAAATTAGTTTTTCCAATCAAATATGAAAACATCAATTCTTTATTATCTTAGGCGTATTATTATATATATTAGTTACATGATTAGACATGCTTTAACACTTCTTCATTAATAAATTATAATTAGCCCTACTTATTGTCTATAGAGTCTATTATATTTGTTAGTTATCTTTTAACTAATTTATATTTCTACAAAGCATTCTTCGCTTCCTAAATATGCTTACAAGGAGTTCGCATAATATACTCTAATGCCTATTCTTCAGAAATTTAAGGCTTTTTTTGAGCACTGATTAAGTGAACCTAAAATATTTAATCATTTAAAAGATAATTAGTTAATTATGTTTATTGAGAGCCAAAACTTAAAATTTCGATCTGAAAACCTAATTTAATGATTCCCTTATTGTTAATTGTAAACATTGTGGATAATTATATAGCATCCTCTTGATTAGGAATTTATCTAATAATTATTTATGCTTACTTTTATTTTCTTATTTTATTTTTTTTGATCCCATTTACTTTCATTTTCAGAGGAACAATGTCTACTTACTAACTACTACTATCCTATTTATTTGAAGATTTTTCGCTAAAACAAAGAAAATTCTAGCTAGATTAAAGATTTTGTTCTCCTTACTCATCTAAAAATTGCTCTGAAATAAAAAAATATGGTTTATTTGCTTGAAAAATGCAATCTAAATATTTTAATTCTATATCCATAATTAATTTGGTTATTTATAAGCGTTTTCTGAGTTAATTTAGATATTGTTTGAATAATAATTGTTATTATTTACTTATTTACTTATGTTGTATGTAAAATAATAAATCCAATAACAAAAAAAATTCAAAAAGCTTAACAAATCAGAAATATAATCAAAAATTTAGTGATTGTTAAGGACATCTTTTAAATAAGCGTAAATTATTATTTTTGATTTATTCAGTAATATTAATTATTTTTTAATCATATAAAAGCAATTATTTAAAAGTTTTAAAAGGAAAAAAATAATAAAAGAAGTAAAAATTTGAACACTTAATTGAACAAAATACTATTTTTTATAATGAGTCTTTTTTAATTTTGTTTGCTAAAAATTAAAATGTAGGAAAAATTAATTTATATAAACTGTAATATGCACATAATCCAAATCCACTAAATTCAATTCTAAACAAAAAAATAGTTTTTTATATAACTAATAAATACTCTTCAAATTTAAGATTTGCAATTTAAAAAGAAAACATAAATAAATATATTTTAAGAATTTTATTGTAATAAAATATGCATAAACAAAAATTTAATATTTTTTTTAGCAAATTAATTTGCATAGATTAAATTTTGTAAAAATATAATGTCTTCTTTTATCATCCATAAATCTAATACTTGATTATTCTCTTCATTTTAAGAATTTTTGTTCTTAAATTCTATTAAGATACTTCAGAAATTGAATTTTAACTTTACACAATAATAAAAATAAATTATTTAATTTATTATCTAAGCTATCTATGAAATTTGAATAAAGTTAATAGAAAAATAATTAAAAATGATAAATTGGACAAATAAAACTAAAAAATATTGTTTTTTTATTTATTTTTTAAGCAAAGTTTTTATGATTTAAAAATGAAGCTTTTTCATTTAAATATAAATAAATTTACATGAAGTCTAGCTCTAAAATTGATAAGTAATTGCATTTTGTTAAAACAAGACCTAAATTTTAAATGCCACTGTTGCTAATTCTATTATTACTTTAAAATTAATTATAAATATAAAATTTTATATAATTCTTTATTTTATTATATTGTTTATTAATCAACAAAATAGTAAAACTTGTATTTATTTATTTATTCAGTTTAACTCAATTAAATTTTTAAAAATGATAAAAAATGTATTTTTCAGGGCAAAAGAAATTTTACTCTAGATAAACTGCTAAATTTGAGAGTTTGGAGTTCTTTCCTAATGCTTATATTAAATCTGTTGTTCCTTTATCACCGATTTCATTTTTGCTTTTATATTTTTAACATAATATTATATATATTAGTAATTTGATTGATCATTTATATATATAATTATGATTAAGAATTAAAAAATTTAAATACTTTTTATTTATTTCAAAATTAATTTTTAAAAAAATAAATAAATGATTTATGATAGTTTTTATCATTAAATAGTTCTTAATTTATATACACAAATAAATGAATTATAATTACATAAAATAAAGAGCCATATTTGTAAGATTGGCGCACTTTGCTAAAGCTTAACCTAAAGATGATACGCCATTGCAAGTTATTTCATTTGCGCTTTTGAAAGGTATAAAGTAAATAAAAAGAAACAAAAAAAATAAAGAAAAAATAAATATTAAATTTTGTTAAAATAAAATTAAAAAATTTTTTAAATTTGAAAAGATTTTCTAAATTGAATTCTTACTTTTTTTTACATTTGAATTCAAAATAAAAAATGAATTAATAAAGCCAAAAAATAAAATTAAATAATTTTACTTGAGGGATAAAGTCAAAGATGAAATCGTTGTAGACATTTGAAGAGCTAGGCCTAAGTCTTAAACACCCAAATCACCAATTTCATTATTACTTTTATTTCAAAATAAAAAGAATAACAAAAAATATATAATTTAACAAAAATTTTGAACTAATATGAAATCAAAAATATAAAATGAAATTATTTATTTTAAATAGGCATTTTTTTTTTTTGATTTCTTTTCTCAAATAATTATTAATTAATAAGAAAAACTTTATTTAATTAATTTAGTCTTTATTTTTTAGTAATAATTTAAAATAAAGCTAAGAAAGAAGTAACACTGAAAATAAATTTAATTTAAGACGAATAATATAAAATTATTATTTTTTTATTTAAAATAAGTATTGTCTTACTTAAGATGAAGTGTCAAACTCTTGAGATTTAAATAGCTAGCTAAAGCAGGCCCTAAATTTAATCCTATCGAATCCTTTAAGGAATTATTGCTTTTATTAATGAGTGATAATAAAATACTGATTTTATAGTCAAATGAATTTATCTCAAATTAAAATAATATTAACTAAATTTAAATTAAGTTTCTAATCAAAATAATTTATTTAATTTTAAAATCCAAAATTAAAAAAATAACTAAGGACAAATAATAAATAAATAAATGTTTTTTTACCTGAAATCTAGATCTAGAATTGATAATTTAGTACATTTAGCTAAATCTTAAACCAAATTAGAGATTCCCTTTTCACTAATTTCTGTTGTTCTTTTGAAAATAAAAATAATAAATTAATTAGTAAGTTCTTCATTATTAATTATTTGGAGAAATTAAACTTGATTAAAAATAAATGAATAATTCAATAATTTATTGTTTAATTTATACATCCCTTTTAATTTATTTTAATCAAATGAAATAAATAAATATTTCTTAAAATTAAGTGGATTAATCAAAATCATTAGAGAAAATCTTTCTGATTTCTTAATAGCTAAAAATTAGCCAAATTAAAAAAGTTATTTTTTTAACTTTATTAAATTTTACAAGTTCAAAAAAGAAAGATAGATAGATGAAAAAATAGTAAAATTCACAAAAAATAAAATAAAATAATTTCAGTCATTAAATTCAAAAAAATAAAAATTTAAAATATTCGAGAAAAAAATTATTTTAATGTATTTAAAGGAATATTTCTTATATTGTTTGTTTGGTTACAAAAAAATTTGGAATTCTTGATATTTACAAATTAATAACTAATTACTTAACGAATTTGTGAAAATTTTAATATATTTCTTTCAATTTTATTCCTTTTAATCAATTATTTATTTTGTATCATAATTTATAATTTTTATAAAACAAAACATTAGTCAATTTTATTTAATTTTCTTAATCTGCATATCAAATTATTATTAGACCAACCATAGGTAATAAATTAAAAAACATTTATTTCTTTTTTTTAAATAATTTTTTCCTAAAATAATTAACAATACACTTAAAATTTTGAGAATTATAAACTCTATTTAAAATTAATTTTATTTATCAACAATTAAGAAAAAAATGAATTTTAACGCAAATAGAATTATGAGGGATATTTAAAGTTTATAACAAAATTAGTATCACTATTTGTTTTATATATTCAAAACACATATTATTTAATTAAGCTTTATCTAGACTTCTCAAATTAATAATAAAAAACATAAGAAAAACATCTTCAAAATAATTACTGGTGAATAAAGATATGTTGGCTAATTCGTATCTTTTGATGGTTATTAATTGCCAGAATTAGATTCAGAGCTTGAACCTGAATTTGATCCAGAGTTAGAGCCAGAATTAGATCCAGAGTTAGAGCCAGAATTCGATCCTGAACTAGAACTCTTGCAATCTGCTTGAGTTTTGGCTGTGCCTGGTTCTGAGGTTCCATTATCAGGACATTTTTAGCAATTGTTTGATGAGGTTTCGTTTGATAATGTAGCATCTCCATAAAAATCTTTTGCGCACACACATTCACTTGAAGTCTGTGACCAAGGTACAGAATTAATATCATAGCATTAGCAGCCAGCATTTCCAGATTGGTTTGTTGAACCTTTTGGACAATCGCTGCATGAAGTAGAACCAGATTGAGAGTTATATTAACCATCATTACAAGGTTTGCAAGAGGTATTTTAGGTACCGTTTGAATAGGTTCCTGCAGGGCATGGCTAACATACTCCTGAATTTGAGTAATAACCAGGACCACAAGGCTTACAGCCAGTAGAATTTGGCACATTTGAAACAGTTCCTCCATATCCAGGCTTGCATTAACACGTTTATTAGGAACTTGATAAAGGAAGAGCTAATTAATCATAACAGGTACAAGAGGCTATGGAATTAACTACTGCAGTTTAATCGCTTGTTGAATTATCGGGGCATTTTTGGCATTAAGCTGAAGCAGGAGTACCATCTTTTTTTGATGCCTAAGTCATATAATAACCGCTAATACATATGTTACACTAATAAACATCTCCTTACTATTAAGGGCCAAAATAGTTTCCTGAACCAGTTGGGCAAGGTGAACAAGTAGCTGCGCTTAAAGTAGTACTAGATTGTGTCATATAATAGTTTATTTGACAGTATTTGCAACTATTAATCCCATTACTTGTGACATCCCCAGATGAACCAGCAGGACATTGCTAGCAAGTAGCTCCAGTAGATGAATCAAAGTTGGATCTGTAGAAACCAGAACTACAAAGAGAACAATCACTAATATCCTACAAACCTGAAGAATTTGCTGTAAGAGCTGCTTAGGGACATGGAGAGCAAAGTACTTAGCCACTCTAGACCATTGTGCTGACGTAAAAACCAGGTAGACAAATCGAGCAATCGTCAGCAGATTAAACACTGGTACTAGGTTTGAGAGTTGAGGCATTATTAGGGCATTAAACACATTGAGCTGCCTAAGCTGGAGTGCTGCCATTTGCAGGAGTAGCTTATTAAGAAAGATAGTATCCAGGTTAGCACTAAGCACAGCTACTAACATCTTGTACTGAGCCAACTTACAATAAACGAAATAAGATATTCCCTAACTACATTTATGTGCCAGTTGGGCATTAAACGCAGGTAGCAGCAGAAACAGCGTTAGCACCCTTTTAGATATAGTAATTATTATAGGCACATTTAATACAGCTACCAACTATTTAACCTCCTTAAACTGCTGAAGTATTATTTGGGCATTATTAGCATATTTAAGTATTAGGATTAAGACTGTAATATCCATTTATGCAACTACAAGAACCTCCAACTAAGTTAGCATAATCAGCACACTGCTACCAGGAAAGACATACTAACCCCAGAAGTACTATGGAAATAAGTAGTTTTCTCATTATAGTATATAATATGATTTGATATTTGTTTGTGATTTGATTTATTTATTAAATTATATTTGTAATTAAGAGTTTGAAAATGAGCCACTTTTTAAATCCAAACCAAGCCAAATAAAGTCAAAAATATAAAAAATTAATGATTTTCAATTATGTTATCATAATCATAATATTAATTTTTTTAATATTTCATAAAGTTAATATCAAAATTTTACATTCATTACATATCAAATAAATTGTATTAGTAATAAAACAAAAGGCTTAAAATTTAACTAGAGCTCTTAATATTCCCCAAATAATAAAAATGTTTACAGTTTTATAATGCTGAAAAACATGTTATTAATTTTCAGACTCTATAATTTTGTTGTAATTATGAGCAAACGCTTTATTTTTTTTCCCTTCAAATAACTTTTAAATTAGTAACAAACAAACAAACAATCAATCAAAAATTTGAAAATTTTCTTATTAAAATCGCTCGATTTAAAAAATTTATTTAATTAAAAGTAAACGATTAATAGAAAATAAAAAAGGATTTATAAATTATAAAATTTTTAATTAAATTTTAAGGTAAGACCAGTATCCTAGATCAAATTTATAAATAAACTGCAACAATTAAAAAATGATCTCTTTCTTTTCTTGCTCAGAAATAATGTTATAGAGTATAAAAAAATAGGTTTTAAACTTATTAGGCTATTTATTTAAAATAGCTTTCAATATTAAAAGATTTACAGGTTATAATTATAAAAGTTGTAAAAAATGACTGGCTATAATGTAAAATTTGAGCTTTTACAGATTTACCTACCCCCATAAATAATATAATCAATCATGTTAATTTTCCGCCTAAAAAATAGAAATTTAGGGGGTCATTAATTAATTAATGAGGATTTATAGTGTTAAAAAATTGAATTTTTTTTAAAAATTGCATTCACAACAAACCTCTATTTTGAATAATTATATATTTTAATAAGCTTTTTTTGGCATAAAATTTTAAATTCTAAGTAGATACTATAGATGACTACATTATTAAAAAAGAACAAGATTATTAGAAAAAATAGAAAGGAAATTAATTGAATAGTTATCTATTTTATTATAATTCTGAATTAAAATGTTAATTTTTTAACTTTTTAATTACAAATAATAAAATAAATGATATTTGTTTGTTTTAATCCTTGAAAAACTTTTTAAATGTTTATCTCAAAATAAATTTATTTTTATACAATTACAAAATAAAAACGCACTCACTCATCTATCAATTATTTAAAAAAATAAGATTTATGTTTTTACTATTTTGAGTGAATTGGTTTTATTATTTATTGATTATAATTATCATATTTAGAAATTGATTACTGATTTTACATTATTAAATAATAACTAAAGAATTTATAGAAAATATATATAAATTCATTCATATTTATAAAGGGAAAATCTCTATTTTAAACCTAATAAATGTTGATAAAAATTAAATAATAACAAATTTAATAAGCTAAATTTGGCTATAAAATTGTAATTTTTTAGAAAATTATTTTATTTATGTGTTAGTTAAATAACTAAATATATTATTTTCTTCTTTGTTTGTTTAGTTCAAATAACAAAGGATATTTTATGATTCAAATTTAATAAAATTAATTAATTTTTAATATTTAACTTACTCTCTAAATATGATTGATTGATTCTTTTTTCTTAAAAAATATTTAAGCAGATTTCTAAAATCTAATTAATTTTTTGTTAAATATTTCTGATTCATTTCAAATAGATTTTAAAATATTTTGTATAAATCATATTAATTTTTTTTAATTAATGATTTAACGTTGTAATTATTGCGTTAACCATTTAACAAAATAAGAAAGTAAACTAATAGAAAATATTAGGGTTTACATTTTAATTAACAGTTATTTAATGTATCTAATTTTTTTACTTTAAATAATTTATAAAAATTTTATTGCTTATTTTTTGATGTAATATTAAAATATTTTTTATTCATTACAGATAAAGTTTAAAATATTTTATAAAATCATGTTAAATTTATCAAAATATTGCTTTAGAATTGTAATTATTCTGCTAATGATTTAATTGATAGTAATATTTGGGTTTTTTCATTAATTTAGCAGTTATTTAAATCAAATTTAATAATTTAAATATAATAATTTTTATTTCTTATTTTTTAAAATTATTTGTAAAATTAAAACTATTTCTTATAAATTTCAAATTTATTTTAATTATTTCATAATAAATTTTATTATTTATCAAAAAATTATTTATTTTTAATTATTCTGTGAATCCTCATTTATTTAAATCAGTCTTTAAAATGAGGGTTATAGATGGGTTGCCTGAGTCTACCTACCAGGTTTTTTTCAAATATTACTAAATAAATAACTGCCCGTCTTTAATTCCTACTATATATATTTTTAAGTATATGTTTTAAATAAAAATATTAAGTTTAAATAGTGAATGTGATATCTCTTCATAAAACAAAATAAATAAATTAATATTTGATAATTAATTAATTAATTATTATATTTATTTGTTCTTTTTATCCATTTATAATTAATTAATTTGTTAATTAAATTTCATAAACTGCTATTCAATATTTTTGAAAAAAAAAATAAATGATATAATAGATTAAAAAATATAATAATTTGAAAGAAGTAATTATTCATTTTTTTATTAATATATTTTAAATTTATATAAATTAATAAAAAAAGTTTAAAAGCTCTTCATTTTTATCTCATTAGGTTCTCCATATTTATCTGAAGTATATTTAATTAAAAAATATTATTTTTATTATTATTAATATTTTTTGTTTATTTTACTTTAAATTTGTTTGAATAAATAATTTATAAAAGAAATTATCATCATTATTCATTGATTTTTATTAAAACTTAAATTTTTTAGCAATTTTAACTTAATTTTCATTTCAATTTTTAATTATTTATTTATTAATAATTTTTTATTATTTGATATTTTTTCTTCATTTTTGCTATTAAAACTTACACTAAATAAAAGCTATTTATTTGTTTTATATTATAATATTTTTAATTATAATAGTTAATTTAAAACATTAAAGTTCTTTTAATTTATTTGATTTGTTTTCCTTTTTCTTTTTATTATGATTTCATATTTTTTAATTCTTTGTTAATTTTATTAATTATTAATTAATCTTATTATTTCATATTTTTTCTTCATTTTTCCTCCTAATTAACAATAGTGAAATACCTATTTAATTTATTTCTAAATAACATTATAAATAAAGCTAATTTTTAGAAAGCATAACATATCATTTTTTTTGAAAAAAAATAAATTTTAAAAATCTAGGATAGAAAAAATTTCATAAAAAATATTAAAAATTTTAATTTTATAAAATGAAAAACTGGTACATAATTTTGGATTGTGATATTTTAAATTATAAAAACTAATTAAAAAGAATAAAGCTCTTTTTTATTTTTCTTTTTATTGTGTTTACTTTTTTTTGTTCTTTCTCTGTTAATTTAGCTCATCATTTTATTTTCAAATTTTGCCTTTATTATCAATTAATTAATCTTATTATTTCAAATTTTTTCTTCATTTTTTCCTTCTAATAAACTATTAAATGATATAATTTTTCTTCAATATTTAAAAAGTAACAATAAAATTGGTGATGAAGGTGCATAAAGCTTAAGTTCTGCTTTAGCAAATTGCATTAATCTCTCAAAGTTGAAACTTTACCTTCAGTAAAAACAGTTTATTTGTTTTGGATTGTGATATTTTTAATTATAAAAACTAATTTAAAACAACAAAGCTCTTTTTTCTTTTTCTTTTTATTGTGCTTGCTTTTTTTGTTCTTTCTTTCTTTGTTAATTTAGCTCTTCATTTTATTTTCAAATTTTGCCTTTATTATCAATTAATTAATCTTATTTTTTCAAATTTTTTCTTCATTTTTTCCTTCTAATTAACTATTTAATGACATATTTTTTCTTCAATATTTAAAAAGTGACAATTAAATTGGTAATGAAGGTGCATCAGGCTTAGGTTCTGCTTTAGCAAATTGCATTAATCTCTCAAATTTGACACTTGACCTTTGGTAAAAACAGTTTATTTGTTTTGGATTGTGATATTTTTAATTATAAAAACTAATTTAAAACAACAAAGCTCTTTTTTCTTTTTCTTTTTATTGTGCTTGCTTTTTTTGTTCTTTCTTTCTTTCTTTGTTAATTTAGCTCATAACTTTATTTTCAAATTTTGCCTTTATTATCAATTAATTAATCTTATTATTTCAAATTTTTTCTTGATTTTTTCCTTCTAATTAACTATTTAATGATATATTTTTTCTTCAATATTTAAAAAGTAGAAATTAAATTGGTGCAGGTTCTGATTTAGCAAATTGCATTAATTTCTCAAATTTGATATTTGACCTTCAGTAAAAACAGTTTATTTGTTTTGGATTGTGATATTTTTAATTATAAAAACTAATTTAAAACAACAAAGCTCTTTTTTCTTTTTCTTTTTATTGTGCTTGCTTTTTTTGTTCTTTCTTTCTTTGTTAATTTAGCTCATCATTTTATTTTCAAATTTTGCTTTTATTATTAATTAATTAATCTTATCATATCATATTTCTCTTCATTTTTTCCTTCTAATTAACTATTTAATGATATATTTTTTCTTCAATATTTAAAAAGTGACAATTAAATAGGTGATGAAGGTGCATCAGGCTTATTTTCTGCTTTAGCAAATTGCATTAATCTCTCAAATTTGACACTTAACCTTTAGTAAAAACAGTTTATTTGTTTTGGATTGTGATATTTTTAATTATAAAAACTAATTTAAAACAACAAAGCTCTTTTTTCTTTTTCTTTTTATTGTGCTTGCTTTTTTTGTTCTTTCTTTCTTTGTTAATTTAGCTCATCTTTTTATTATCTAATTTTGCCTTTATTATCAATTAATTAATCTTATTATTTCATATTTTTTCTTCATTTTTTCCTTCTAATAAACTATTAAATGATATAATTTTTCTTCAATATTTAAAAAGTAACAATAAAATTGGTGATGAAGGTGCATAAAGCTTAAGTTCTGCTTTAGCAAATTGCATTAATCTCTCAAATTTGACACTTGACCTTCGGTAAAAACAGTTTATTTGTTTTGGATTGTGATATTTTTAATTATAAAAACTAATTTAAAACAACAAAGCTCTTTTTTCTTTTTCTTTTTATTGTGCTTGCTTTTTTTGTTCTTTCTTTCTTTCTTTCTTTCTTTCTTTGTTAATTTAGCTCATCACTTTATTTTCAAATTTTGCCTTTATTATCAATTAATTAATCTTATTTTTTCAAATTTTTTCTTCATTTTTTCCTTCTAATTAACTATTTAATGACATATTTTTTCTTCAATATTTAAAAAGTAACAATTAAATAGGTGATGAAGGTGCATCAGGCTTAGGTTCTGCTTTAGCTAATCGCATTAATCTCTCAAATTTGAAACTTTACCTTAGGTAAAAACAGTTTATTTGTTTTGGATTGTGATATTTTTAATTATAAAATCTAATTTAAAACAACAAAGCTCTTTTTTCTTTTTCTTTTTATTGTGCTTGCTTTTTTTGTTCTTTCTTTCTTTTCTTTGTTAATTTAGCTCATCATTTTATTTTCAAATTTTGCTTTTATTATTAATTAATTAATCTTATTATTTCATGTTTTTTCTTC